GAGTCAATCAGGCTTTAATAAAGTAGCAATCCGCTACAAGGCTATTAGCAATGTTCACGGTTTGGTTAACACTTTGATGGAATGTTCTTGAAAGTAAGCATTACTTCCCATTCAAGATAAAAGGCTGCTATGTCACTTGACTTCTGTTGCATGTTTGTCTTATTTTAACCGTTTTTAATTGAACAGGAGATGGATATATTAAGAAATTGCGGTCAAAGCGAATGATTCGCCATCTTCTTAACAAAATGATTAAAATTATCTTATAGTGAATAAATATTAAGTCAATGGTGGGAAAAATTTCATTGATAAGTTAAAAGGGAGAGTAAAACAGCATTTGAACAAGGTAGCAAATTGTCAATCAAAGAAAAAAGACCAAATGGCTGAATTACCGCCTGCTTTCTGTTTGTCCAAAAGAGCCGTGGCGGCCATGAATGAACGCAACACAACAAGAAGTTAAAGGACAGAGAAGAGCTTTACAAATATCGCGAATTTCTGTCAGTATTCAATCCAGTTTTGTTATACCAGGGTTTGTATTGACAACATTGACATGGAGCACATAGCAAGGCTTTGGATGGGCAATTGGAAACGAATTGTCTGGAGCTTCTGTGTTTAATTTTAGAGGTTTGAGCTTCTCATGATAGATTGCGAATTTGGATGAAGCGGAGTTATGGCGAAGCCGCCTAAGCGTATGGACAATGAGACCCGTCGATTTGTTATATGATGAAAGCAGTTTAGGCTGTTCTTTATTGAGGCACATTTGGAAAGATATCAGGTTCATAAGTTGCACAAAGGATGAATGAAAGCAAAGCTCAATGTTGCAGATTCAAAATTACTAATTCATGAAAGTTGTTTCCACGTTTAATACGTCATGACAGCTTGGTAGATATTCGGACGAAATCTGTTTGAGACTGGAGTCATAATGATTGACTTATTGGTGTTACAACAGTTCAGAAGATCCATTTACCTTAATTTATAGACGAAAATAATTTAAAAATTGAAAAATGCAATCCTGTTTCTATTTAGATTAATATAAAATATAAAAATTAACTTTGTTTTAAGCAACTGACATTAATTTATGTTGAGTATGTTATTCGTAGAAATAGGATACTTCTGGAAAAGTCTCATTTCACAACAGTGATACTTATGCTCTCTAAGAGATAATCCTTTTGGAATATTCGAACCTGTAAGAGGAAAATTTAATCGGCATTGTGGAATAAAGATTGATAGTTAATTTTTATAAAATTAACAGATTTAGTTGATTTGCACACAATAAGCTAATATTCATTAACTAAAATAGGTACTAGGTTAGGTTTATTTTGGCATCATTTCTTCCCTTAACATTAGGTTTTATATTTTTTTATATTTTAATAGTTCATTCGATAGATTTGTCTACTTGAATAGAGAAGTAAGTGCCTATGCCAACCTCATTCTGCCCAAATATCCGGAAATTAATCCCCCGGGAAATACAAATTCCTGAGAATGAGCGGAGGGCAAATTTTAACATGGAAAGTTAAATAGCTAATAAAAACTATTTCTCTGTCCATTTCGTATGCTTCAAGTGGAACTAGATTAAGGGGGTTTTGTATTGAGGCAAACTTTCATGATGGAAATGTTTCTGAACGAAAAGGAAAGAGGGTTCGTGTCCCCCCAAAGTGCGAAACAAATTGAAGAGGGTTTGGTGGCAGTTGAAAATGAAACAAAAACTTGAATTTTTAGACTTGAGAGCGGTTGATCACGCCAACTCGATTTGTTGTCAAGCAAGTTTACTAGACGTCGAATAAGACGTTTAAGTGACGACAATTGCACTAGTGTACTCAAGCATTTTTATTTTCAATAAAATACTTAATGGTTAATTTTTCAAATACTTTATAAATAACTATCAAGTTGAACACATTAAAGAAAATATCATGTTAAGTTACAACACAAAATCGATTTTCAAATAGAAAATGTTGGCTTAGATCGTTGATCTAACCATTTATTATCACAGATTATCAGCTTGAGAGATATTTATGGGAAATTAGATTTGATTGAGAAATCCAAAAAATTCAAATGTAAGAAATAAAACACAATGAATAATCGGCCTATTTTCTAAGGTGATGNAAGTTTCATCTGCCTGTTGTGAATGGATTGAAAAGGTAGGATCAACAAGGGAAATCTATCGATCTTTCAACAGCCTCAAATAATTCATATAACACATTGTTATATCTGGATTATATATATATATATATATATATATATATATGATTGCTTTCATTAGCCCTTTAGTTGACTCCGAGCTACACAGAGGGGGGGGGGGGCCAGACAAAGTAACAAGACGTGGAGAGGGGGAGCAGAAGAGTGATTCAAAGATGTGAAAGAGACAGACAGGCACACACAGGCAGAGAAAAGGGAAGGTAAGATGAGTACTGTGAAAGTGGTCGAATATGACATACAGTGGGGCCATGGCAGTCTGAAGTCAGAAGTCATCTGTCAATTTTTAGACTTTTTTCCTTGCATATGCAAGTTGCTCAGGGTGAATCACGTGGAGGTAAGTCTATCGTACACCTCATCATATAATACATTATATTATAGATCCATGAGGTAAATCATAATATGTTAACGTTATTTTCTTCCATTATTCAGATGATGTTCAGAGTATCATTGTGTGCAATTTTTCATTATTGTCGACGGTAGTAACAATAACAATTAAACTAAATTATTTCCTTCCCAAATAATTATTATTAATAGCACTTTTAGAACACATTCAGCTTAAACCTTTAAATTTCTTCAAATTTGCTTAAAAATTAAATTATTATATGGCAGGTAAAAGCATACCGCATTCCTTTCCCCGCGAAAGGCTCCTTAGTCTGTTGTCATAATTTGGGAATAATTAGGACAGGCAGAAGAGGTGGGGAGGGGACATTATTGTTCCAGACGTCATTGTTGCCTTACCTGACTCCCAGTTAGTTAGGAAACATATTGTAATGTCTTGGTTAATGATTTCCATGCGAACAATAAAGCACCCCACTAATAGTTTAATTCATGCCTTATTTTAGGAAAACAGCGATTTATTATTCAGCATACTTTTTCTTATTATGTTTTTAGTGGCTTAAAGGTAAATTAAAAGCGATATTCAGAACGTTTTTAAGTTACATAGCCTTCCGGCTAAAACAAACAGAGAAATTTCAATTTTTGTGTAAGTAAAATAGTATTATTCAGCTAAAGATTTTTTCGATAATTTTTTACTTCCAGATTTGTTCACAAAAGCAAATTTTTAAAAATCTTTAAGTGAATTATTGTAGAAAATTATGTTTCAAGAAACGTAGAGAGGTGACTTAAATCGCTATTCACAAATCGACTTTCTTGCCTGTTCGGTTTCAATTAAATCTTTTATTCCATGAAATAAATGAATACAGTTATTTGATATACATTTTTTTCTAAGACATCATTTTCAAATCGTCAGTCCCGAATTTCACCTTAGCCAAAATCGATTTACTCAAAATTTGTGTTATGTTCAATATCAAATTGATGTAAACAATTTCTGACCAATGAGAAATTAATGATAAAGACCAAAGTATGCGTGAAAATAAACTTTGCTGGTCTAGTGCTGTCCACTGGTAAATTCACGTGTATGTCTTCTACTGGGAGAATTCTACTGTATGACACATGGAAGTAAAGGTTGTCAATGTCTGCTAATTATATTCAGCTGCCTGAAACCATAAAAGGAATTACGGAAGAAGTATCTAAGTTGTAACCAGAATTACACGAATTCCGAAGATTTAGGACCAGTCCTTAACCCCCCCCCCCTGTACTTAATACTTTATGCTCTGCACCCATATTTATTTATTTGATAATATTTATATCAAGTGGCAGGCTGTATGATAGTTACCATTAGCTCATTAGTTGATCTCGGGCTTTACAAAGGGGAGGAACATCAAGGTCACAAAAATTCGATAAAATGGGGGGGGGGGAGACAGAGGAGTGATTCACAGATGTATAAGAGACAGACACAATGGTGGAGAAAAATGCAAGGTGAGTACTGTGGAAGTGGTGGAATAGGACATAAAGTCGGGTCATGGTAGTCTAAAGTTAGAAGTCAACTTCCAATTTATAGACTTTTTGGGGTATGAGTATACGTTGCTCGACTTAATCATATAACGATACTCAAACTATATTCATTTAGTAACACAGATAGTGATCTGTACTGACGAAAGTGTGCTACATGAGTGGGAAAAATAGCGCTTCACCACCAAAATTATCATTGACTTGAACTGACAATAATGTAGAAAAGTAGTTGGTATTGATTAAAAACAAACAAACAAAAGAACAGAATAGGTAACTTTTTAGATTTGAGAATAATTTAAAATGAATAAGTTAAAAAATTCGATAAAAAAGAATGTGATATGCATAGTGATAAAATGGAAATTAATTGAGTTGTTGACCGAACCATTTAAAATCTCAAATATTCTGAAACTTGAGAGATATGGGAATAGATCTTGTGCAGGGGACAGCACTCCCAGAGCTGGTCGAAGGAATCTCTCTTGCTAGAACAATCCAATGAGTGTGTACTTGCTTCCGCTTGTGTACTGAGCAGGTGCGACATACGCACAGAGGCCTCCCAGTGAGGCATTCACAAATATTTTTGCTGTGTGGCGTAAATTGCGCTCATTTACTAAGCTCTCTTCTCTTGCAACACTCCTCACTACACTAAATTCTAAGGGGATAAGCACAGTTGCTCGATGAAGGACTTATCTGTCAGGCATTCCCCACAAAATTTTTTTCAAATGGCAGGCTTTATGATATTTATCATTAGCCCTTAAACTTTGTCTTCAGCTTCCTTCATGGGTGGGGGGTACAGATATAACAGTTAATTAATAGCAGCTCATTAACTGTCTACTTGCTTCCCAGTATCTCTGGCTTTCCGTCTTTGTCTTTAGGCCTGGACATCGATCAGGTGAGTTCTCCGTTTCCTCCTGTAGGTTACATAGGGGGCATGTGGGTTGAGTGTATACTCCCAATATGTGGTGTTTTACCAGGATCAAGGCCTTCTCTTTGATAAGGGAACCTATTGTGGAGCTTCCTGTAACTAGGAGCATTGCATTAATGGGTGTTGATTTTATCCCTCCAGTAATTAGTCGTAATGCTTGGTTGTGTGCCTTCTCGAGGGGTTTGAGAGTCACCTCTGTGGCTGTAATGAGTGGCTCACAGCAATACAACATTATTGGCTGAATAAACATCTTGTAAGTGGTGCTAAGAGTTGAGCATTCCCCGCAACATGTAGGCCAATGTTAACAACATGNTTTAACATGGAAAGTTAAATAGCTAATAAAAACTATTTCTCTGTCCATTTCGTATGCTTCAAGTGGAACTAGATTAAGGGGGTTTTGTATTGAGGCAAACTTTCATGATGGAAATGTTTCTGAACGAAAAGGAAAGAGGGTTCGTGTCCCCCCAAAGTGCGAAACAAATTGAAGAGGGTTTGGTGGCAGTTGAAAATGAAACAAAAACTTGAATTTTTAGACTTGAGAGCGGTTGATCACGCCAACTCGATTTGTTGTCAAGCAAGTTTACTAGACGTCGAATAAGACGTTTAAGTGACGACAATTGCACTAGTGTACTCAAGCATTTTTATTTTCAATAAAATACTTAATGGTTAATTTTTCAAATACTTTATAAATAACTATCAAGTTGAACACATTAAAGAAAATATCATGTTAAGTTACAACACAAAATCGATTTTCAAATAGAAAATGTTGGCTTAGATCGTTGATCTAACCA